GAAGGAAGGAAGGAAGGAAGGAAGGAAGGAAGGAAGGAAGGAAGGAAGGAAGGAAGGAAGAAAGAAAGAAAAACCTCATGTGAAACAGGCAAGGCTTCCACTTAAGAGCTTCTCCATTCTTTAAATGTCATTCATCACTCACCCTCCTTTTACACTCCTGGCGTATTACTTCAGCAGCCCTGGTCTTCCTCCATCTTTCTAGCTCCTTCCCCTCCCTCCTTGGCTATGTTCTGGGGTAACTTTCACTTCCATCTGTCCCCTCCCACACTTCCTTCCCACCTCAACCTTGGGCTGCCTATCAAATGACACCTTTCCACCTTACCCCCAGGGCAACTAATCAGAGGTAGCCATCCTCCTTCCCAAGGAATGGGCACGTGGTATAAATTAGGCCAATCAGAGCCTTGCAGAGGGTTCTTATGGGACCACTGCAATTACAGTTGCAGGTGAGGCTTTCTTGCTGCATGTCTCCTGGGGGAACCACTCACTCACTATGTGTTCTACAGAAGTTGTGGCTCAGAGACACTCTAAGCTGGAGTGCCAGAGGAAGAAGCTGTGAGAAGAAAGGACTTACCAATACATCAAGTCTACAGTAGGCAAGGCAAGAAGAGCTTCTGTAGGTGGAGACAAGCCAGGAAGCAGAGGGCCACAGGCAAGCAGGTGGGCACTGCTTCGGCACACCTGCCTCCCAGGCCACCTGCATTCCCTCCCAACCTGTTACCCTCGAGTGGGCTGTTGCCAGACAGGGAAGCCCTGCATGCCTCAGGCAGCCCCCGGGGCAGGCCCAGCCCCCTCCAGGGGTAGCATCCTAGTGTCGCACTATCATGGAAGTTTTTGTGGGCTCGCTTGTCACTCACCTGCTGTGCAGGATGGGGGATCAGTTAGAGGACACAGAATACAGGGCTTGGGAGGTAGAGAGGAGGGGTTCTTGTTACCAAGAGGAGGCCAAGTCTGGAATAAGTGTCTCCTGGGAGACCAGGATCCCTGGGAGTGGATAAGGCCAGTGGAGGTCAGAACTTGGGCCAGAGCCGTCTTCCCTGGTGAAAGGAAAGTCAGGCGGGAGATGATGAGCTGAGCTCCAGTCCCAGCCCGCCGTCTCGCCATCAGTGCCTCTACGCCACACTCAGCGCTCCAGAGCTGCTGCGAGGAATGGAGGCTGGCTCAGGCCGAAGGCTGAGGCAAGTCAAGTTTGTTTTTCCTTTCGCCCCCAACACAGACGCACAGTCATTCTTCCTCTCTCTTTCCTCTCCAAGACACGTCAAAGCTGAGAGGGCTGACTCTGGCGAGGGCTGTCTCTGCCCTCACCTGGTCACCTCATCCTGCTGGCCCCAAGGCCCTGCTTTCCTCTGCCCTGTTCTTGGCTCCCAGCCCCCCGCCACCCCTGGCAGCCGGACCAGCCAAGGCCAGGCTGTTTTGGAAAAGTGCTGGGAGGTGGCAGAATGTGCGGTCTGCGAGTTCCCTCCAAACTGGCGCCCCAATCCCTGGACAAACAGCAGCCGTGTTTGCCTGTCCACAACAGCCTGTGTTCTCCTTCCAGGCCAGGAGATCCCGAGGGCAGTCGGCATGTGGGGGGCAGGCAGGCAGGGAGGCAGACGTCACCAACCCGCGGGTCTGCAGGAGAGAGGCACTGACGGACCGGGTGATGACGGGCCTGCCACCCGCCCCGCCAGGCCCTCCCGCCCTGCGGCAGGGCGGTCAGACTGAGGGCAGCCCAAGGACACGCTTCTCTCACCTCTGCTGCCACACAGGACATCCCACCAAGAGAGATGGAATTCACACTCTGCAAAATTACTACCTCGTGCTGGCACATTTCTGGGTGGAAGCTCGGGGTGTTCACTGCTGCCTCTTACTGACCCTGGAGGCTTCTGACTGAGGGAGCCCCTCCAAGTGGGCACGTGCTGGGCAGGTGGTCTGGTTCTGGCGCAGGAGCTACCCTTCAATCCTGTGAGGCCATGGGAAAGTCCTTGCCATTCTGAGACTCTACTTTATCTTGAAAACAGGGGACTCAACCTTGCTTTCCTCCCACCCTGGAGAGGGCAGAGGTTGGGGCTAGGACTCAGGGAGAGCAGGGCTGGGCATGCTGGGGAGGGGCAGAGTAAGGCATAACGACAGCACGGAGCAAAGGACAGGGTGGTCAGGGTCTGCTGAGTGTCCTGTCCCAGTGGCGTTGCTTGGAAGATGTTGGGGTTTCTCTTCTGGGTGGCCAGGCTCTGGGACCTGGGTGGAGAGAGGCCCTGCGTCTCAGAGTGCATCCGCGCCCGGGGCCTCTGAGCCAACATTGGGTCTGACTGACTGAATGAAAAAGAAATGCTGCAGCCACAAAAAGGCCTTTCTCAGGCCAGCTCAGGGGAGACTTTCCCTCCCCAGACTGGGGGGAGAGGACCGTGGGGCATGGCGGAGGCTCCGACCAGCCCGGGCACAGTGACACCTTTCCCTCCCTGGTTCCTGGTGCAGCTCCAGGGGCCATGGCTCTGCATCTCATTGCTTTCCCTCCCCTAGCACAGCCCCTTGGTCCTGGGACTGTGCCCTTTGCCAGCCTTACCTCCAGCCTCCGTGGCAGTCCAGATGCGGAGCAGCTTTTCCCAGCTGGCAAATGGCACATGGTTTGTCATCAAATGGGTTTGAGAAGCCTGCAACCTGTGTCCTCTCTATACCATGTTGCCCCTTAGTGCACCCATCCTCAGGCGCAAGGTCCTGACAAGTCTTGTGGTGAAGAGATCTGCCTACTTCTCTTTAACCCCTTCCTCAAATGTACTTGATCAAGGAATCTATCTGCTCCTGCAGCTCATGAAACAGCCTTTGAGAAGTGCCTCCTGGGGCACAGGGCTGGGCGTCAGAATTGAATTCTGCTCCTCAGTTCACCACGTGGCCGTGGACATCAGTATAAACGAGATGGACTCAGGACAAGCCCTGAGCACTCTGGGTTGTCGTGTCCAGCACTGAGACACCTAGTCCAGCCAGTCATGGCTACACTCGGCCAGGAGAGCTGGCTCCCAGCTGCCACATCTCCCAACAGACCTCTGGGGCCAGTAGCTGTTCAGTGACATCTTTCCCTCCCCAAGGGAACTCCTCGAAGGACGCTGCCACGAACTTCTCTGTGCCTATGCACAGGGAATGGCAGGTTGGCCTCATAGGACAAATGTTTCTGGGCAGAACTTCCTGGCTGGCAGGTGGGACTGGACGTTGCTGAAGGGAACGTGGGCGTCAGGGAGTGGGGAGTACCCTTTCAGTGAGGCTGAAAGGCAGAGACCAGAGAGCCAAACGAAGGTGAGTCCCCACAGTTTATTATGGAAGCCTATAAAAGAGCCACATTGAGTACTTTCAAAATCACAAAATGCACAACATCCATTTTTTAATATGCAACATGGAATATTATATACAGATTAAGACCACATGACAGCAAAAACACTCACACGGCACCAGTTTCATATCAAAACAAAACACACAAGTGCTTTTTCAATATTAAAACAACTGTGATAAAAACATATTAATATTTTGAACCATGTTTACAATAGAGAAAAATTCATATTTTACTAAATAACGAATATTTAACAGCGAAAACTTTATACTAAATATCTATTTTGAATTATAACAAAATAGTACTTATAATAGTTTATAAAGACAGACACAAAATTATAACATTTATGAAAAAAAAGTTTTGTGTATAAAATATTATAGTGATCCGGGCAGGGTCCAGATGGAGCCCAGAACACAAACGCCAGCGCCCAACATCGAAAGTGCTTCAATCTGCAAGCCCATGGCAGGAAGAGTTTTGTGGGGTTTTGTCTTTTTAATGTCAAGTTACAATAGTTAGGAATGGTAAGTGCGGAAACATCACCCATCTAACACTATGTCTATAAAACCTACACACACACACAGACACGGATGGACATACAGAGGAGACGGATGACTTTCAACATGGGACCCTCCTGTCAGCCAGTCAAGAGCTTTCTTCAGTTCTCTTCTTGTTGCCTTTGAGACCCAGTGGGGCAAATGACCTTTCTTTTAGCCCTGTCAGGAACCCCCTTCAGCCTTTTCTCTGCCCCTCCCAGGCTGGTCACCCCAACAGAAGGCCACTGAGGCCTTCCAGAGCCCTCCGGCCCCCCACCCCTCTCCAGGGCCAGGCCCGGTGGGCTTCCTGTCTGAAGCTGCACTTACTGCATTCCTAGATATTCGGTCAAGACCGATTGGTTTGGGGCAGGCCGGGTCAGCTTGGAGGCGCGTGAAACTTCCAGACACTGGGCTTTTTTGTGGGTGACCAATTCTGGTGCACCATGCAGCTATTTTGCAAGCTTTGACAAGTCTTTACACATTTTTGCCTGTTTTTCAGAATGTGAAGAGATTGAGAGATTTTATTAAGTTTTCTAAAATGTCAATTTTTGCCAATAAGTTTTGTTCTGCACTGATTTTTCATAGTGAAAAAGTAAAAACCAAATGAAACTTGAGAACAGGGGGTAACAGGACAGTCGTGGGGTGTGGTAAGCCCGTTCCTTCCTGTAGAGCCTACCGCAGGTCAATGTGAGTGGGGGAGAGAGTTGGGGTGTCATCTGCCCACTCAGCACCATCAGAGGGGGCCACTGAGCAGTCATAGTGGTCACTGCTTGGGAGAGGCAATTAGGGGGATCAACGTCCTGCACCTTCTGTGTGTTTTTGATTTTCTTGCAAAGAGGATTCACCTCTTTTAGAACATCGAAAGCCCAAAGAGAAACACGGAAAGCAAAGACAAATCTGAAAACAGACAAAATCACTGAAGACTCTTCAAAGGCCCCAAACCGGCCCTGGGAGGCATCCCAAATTGTCAACACTCAAAATGCTGGTAGCAGAAGCTACTCCTTTTCCCCCTGACTGGCCAGTTTTCAAGCAAATCGCTTCCTACAAATCGCACATACCAGCCTCCTTGCTGCAGCTGCAGCAGCACCCCACCCCCACCCCGCAGCTGCCTCCAGACAGGGCAGAGGCCTGGGTCAGCTCGAGGAAGGGCTACCTTCTGCACACACCTCCCCTTGCTTTCGACTAGTCCCCACACCCCTGAGCTGGGCTAAGCGGACAGTGGCATAGAGGTGGGAAGGGACTTCCTAGACACTTTTCCAAGGGCAAAGGGTGAGGGTTAAGGAAGGGACAACAGAGGCCCTTGTTCCCCATCAGAAGAAAGAACCCGTATCCTTCCCCATACTCACTAGCCGAGTGGGGGGCATCAGGGAGAACAGTGACCGTGCAGGAGATGGTGGCAGCTTCTAAATCCCCACATTTTTGCCAGAGCAGGGCGGGAGGCAGTGGGCCATTTTCTTGTCTCCACCAGGAGACAAAGGCAAAGATGCTGGATTTCACCCCGAGAGTCCAGCTCTGAAATTGAACCCACAGAAGGTCTGGAGCGTGGGGGAGCTGCTCAATCCGCAACTAAGGAGTCATTTGCAGAAGTCCTTCCCCGGAGCAGCCGGGACGGAGGTTAGGGGACAGAGGAGATGCTTTTTCCAGTCCCCAGTAATGCCAAGATTTGGTTATGTCAGTGAATAAATATGAGCCAAAGGCCTTGGGTGTGTGTGTACAGGGGAGTAGGGTGGGCTCAAGGCCTCATTGTGGGAAGGTGAGAATGTCAGTGCTGTGTGCATGCCCAGGGCCACCAGGGAGGATGCTGGGAGGACAGAGCCTGGGGCTCCTTTGCCCCAAGGTCAGAGGAGAGAAAAAGTAGCAGCAATAGGTAATTTCAAATGTTCAAACTGGCAAAGAGGTGGGACCCCTCTAGGCTGGCTGCAGCCTCCGCCTGTACCAAGGGCGACTGGAGTTCTATGCCAGGACGCCATCCCTCAGCGCACACCCAGAGGGGCACATGCCCCAGTCTGAGTAGAGGCAGGAGGGGGAGGGGTGCTGAAGAGGCCACCTCTTTCTCTTACTCCCATCCCAAGTCAACCACTTGACCTCAAACTAAAAGGGTCCAAATGAAATGGGAGGAGAGGGGCCAGCTGGGAACATCACAAGCAAACGCTGCAGCATGAGCCGCCTGACACGTAACACTGTAACGGGCATGCGGAGCCCCTGGGCATGCCAGCCCGGGAGCCAAGCTGATGGGAGCTGGAGAGAGACTGGGGGAAGCAGGAGCCAGGGGCCCATCCTCCAAGAGGATGGAGCCCTTTTGGGTAGGGTTTGCCAGGGAGGGGGTCCAGGGGAGGGAGAAGTAGGGGGGCCATTCCCCCTTCCCCGGGTTCCAGCCCCTCCCACACACAGGTTTCTACCCTTCCATCGCCTCCCGCCCATGGCCTGGCTGGGCTGAGGCGGGGGTGTGGGCCAGGCTCCTTTAGACTGTGGCACTCAGCATGGCCTCCGTCTCTGGCAGGATCTTGTTCTGGTTGGAGTCCAGGCCAAAGAACTTGACACTGAGGCCGTCCACGGGGTGCAGGACAGGGACCAAGGTGATGCGGGGGAAGGTCCGAGTGGCCAGCTCAAAGCGGCTTGTGCTGGCCAGCTCCACCGCCAGCACCTTCAGGAACAGCTTGGCCAGGTGCTTGCCCAGGCAGGTCCGGACACCGCCGCCGAAAGGGAGGTAATGGAAACGGCCATCCTTGTCTTCACTCCGAGCCTGACCGAAGCGGTCAGGGTCAAATACGTTCACGTCTTTGAACACGGGCGCCGTGTCGTGGGTATCCCGGATGCTGTACATGACACTCCATCCTTTGGGGATCTGAAAACCCTGGAGGTGAGATGAGGGCAGGGTAGGATGGTGAGAGCCAGCAAAGGTCTGAGAGGGCCCAGGACTCCTGCCTGCCAGTCCCCTCCCAGATGTTCCTACAGACATCCCACTGTGGTCTCCTGGCCTGGCCAGCACCCCTCAGCATGTTAGTCCAGTGTCTTATTTACAAAATGTCCACATGCAACTTCACACACGACACCCAGGCTGGTTTCAACTGACCCAGGTTTGAGACAAGGTCTCTCCCATGAAAGTTCCCTGAAAACAACTGCCGCTTCCCCATCAGACTGAGGTACCTACTCTGAGGAGAAGTCTGGTCTTTCCCATCAGCCAGCACCCTGCACCGCCCCCCACCACAAGGCAGTGCTCCCACGGGCCCCCTGAGACCCAGTCCTGAGGGCTCAGCCTCACGTCAAGCTCGAAGGTCTGCAGCACGGTGCGGTAGCCACCGGAAATGGGCGTGAAAAGGCGCATGACCTCCTTGATGACGCAGTCCAGGTAGTGCAGTCCGCTGAGCACGTCGAGGCGCAGCGTGCCCTCGCAGGGGCAGCCGCCACTGTGCAGGATGCCCTGCGTCCGCAGCTCCTCCCGAAGCTTCTCCAGCACGGCCGGGTGCTTCAGCAGCTGCATGATAAGTGACGTGCTGGCACTGGCAGTGGTGGCATAGGCTGCAAAGATCAGCTCCAGGGTGCCGTCCTGCAGAGGAGAATCACCATCAGCAACCCAGACTGAGCCAGGCAGGCCAGCCTGGGGGCGACCTCACTCTACCGGGGTCCCCCGAGCCGCAGCATCATCCATCTGGGTCCTGTCCGCTTCCTCTGAGCCTCATGTTGCTGGGCATTTAGGCCACAATGGACGCAGGTCAGAGAGCCAGTCCTGTGACTCAGCAGGAGATACAACTGCTGTAACGCGGGGCAGAGGAACTAACCCGGAAGTCCCCTGGGGTAGGGCCACTTCTCACTCAGCGCTGGATTCTGAGGTATTGAGCCCCAGCAGTCCCAGCAGCCTAATCAGTGTAGTGAGCTCCAAGAAAAAAAGGAAAAAAATCCCAAGGAGCCAGGCACTGTGCGGGTGAGTGGGGTTGGGGGTGCAGGGTCGAAGCCCCAACCTTCCTACTCCCAGCTCCAGCTCCTACTCCACCTCAAGAAGGACATCAGGGTTTGAGAAGCAGTCTGGGCCACACCCATGAAGACCCGGGATGGGACTGCAGTGAGCGGGCTCAGGGGAAGTGGCCCTCAGAAGACCTAACGCCTCCTCTGAGGTATCCTAGGGAGCAAGGAACCTGGGCCATGCATGCCCCATGGAAAGGCCCCAGCAGGTCACCTCATTCCAAGCCCTGTATTTTAGAAACATGGACACTAGGCCCAGAGAGGGGAGCGAAGGGACCTCGATCCCTAACTTGCCACAGCACCACACCTACAAGTCAAGAATGTCTTGTGAAATGGAAGAGTCATTCGGGCTCCTTCCTGGCTCACCAGGTAAAAAGCTAGAGCTAGAAGAGGGGGAAGCAAAGAAAGATTGAGGGGATGGGGAAGTCTGCAGCAAGTCTCTATGGGCACCTGGCAAGCTGTGTGTGGCAGAATCTGAACGAGGATGAAGTAACGGATCCCTTCTCTGGTGGAATAGCCATCCTAAAAAGGAGTGGGCACGAAGCCCCTCTCAGAGCTCAGTGTGGACAGTCTTGGTGCTGGCAGCCCAAGTGGGCTTTGCCAGTGCCAGGCAGGTTGGGAGAGTGGCAAATGCCACCAATCTGAAAAGGCTGGCAGGAAGAGGGGACCTAAGTTAGGTCCAAATCTACCCAGCACTTCCCCAAGGGCTGAGCTGCCTCCCCTTGCGGGCCTGAGTTTCCCTAGGTGACCTACCGGGGTTATTGTGACCATTAAAATGCACTGAAATCGTGAAGACTGGAGGGAAGGGGAGAGGGGTCGATAAAAACCACGGACACTGAGCCCATTCAGAGGTTTCTAAGCGCCAATTTTTTTGCATCTTTTCCAAAATGGTAGATAGGACGGTGGATGGGATGGAGAGTGTGGGTCCCAGTGTCATGGGAACCTGCTCACACCAGGACAGGGTACACACACAGCAAGTCGTGGGGAGAGGGGGAGCAGCCCCACCCATCACAGGTGCTTCTCACCCACCCCACCATGTGCACAGCAGTAGGGTCAGGGCTGCTCTTCTGGCTTAAGCCCCAGCCCAGTGAAGTGACAGCCACCGAAGCTGCTCAGAAACAGTCCCTGTGGAATGCAACCAGAAAGGGGCTGTCCCGGGGTTGAGCAAGGGGCACTCATGCTGGCCACTGGGGAGGCCCCCCACCTTCAGCTCCTGCATGGTCATCTCCTTCCCATGCTCCTTGCTGCTCTCGATGAGGATGTCCAGTGCGTCCGAGTAGTCCTTGCCCTGCGTGCACTGCAGCTTCTCCCGGATCGCCTTTTCCAAGCCCTTCTGCAGGATCTGTCGTGCCTGAATGCCCTGAAAGGAGAAGGTGGCCATCCTGTCACCTAAGGGGAAGGGCACCAAGGGCCTCCTCCCAAGGTGGTCCAGGGTAGGGGACATTTATGAGAACTTCCCCTCTCAGCCACAGAGACCACAAGGTGAAGGCTCCACCTGCCCTCCCACTGACTCTCCCCTCTGTCTCTGTGGCGGATGACTGTCTAGTGGTAAGCCACCCCTCCCTCAGGGTGAGCTCATGGATGCCCACTTCTTCTCCTCCCAGGCCTGGGAGCTCACCCGCCGGTAGCCACTAAAGGGCAAGTCGACAGGCAGGGAAAAGACGTTCTCCACAAACTGCTGGTAGACCTCAAAGAGGTGCCCAAGGTCCTCTTCGGGGATGCTGAAGCCCAGGAGCACACGGATGGCCATGCGGAAGGTGAGCTTCTGGGCCTCCTGGTACACATTGATGGCCTCGGGGCGGCTGCTCCAGGCGCGCAGTGTGTCCTGGATCACCAGTTGGATCTTGGGCAGGTAGCTCTCCAGAGCCTCATGGCTAAAGATCTTGGAGAAAACCTGGAGGGGAGAGAGGCGGGCAAGCTGGTCAGATGGGCTCAGGCTGCCCATGAGGCTCCCAGAGGCCTGGCTGAGGCACAGGGCCCATGACTTTGACTGGAGAAAACTCCAGGCCCTCACCCTGACCAAGCTCCTCCATCCATCTCCCAGACACCGTGCCCTCGCTGGCTTCCCTATTCTGAACCCCACTGCCTGTGTCTCGGTGGGGATGGCAAGAGAAGGACAGGTTACTAAAACACAGTTCATAAGTATTTTTATTCAAAGTCAAGACCTTCCACAACCCTCACAGGGTGACCTGAGCGATCGTCTCCTGTCCTGACCCCCAGAAAAGTTCATGGTCCAAACAATGGCAAAGCCCTGGAGGCCAGGGAATCCAGCTGCCGACAGATCTGTGGGCGATGTGGCTGTACCAGCCATGGGGAGACACAGAGCAGGCAAGAAGGGGTTGGGGGAAGGCCGCCCACCATTGCAAGGGCCCCTTCCAGAATTCCCAGGCCACAGGGCAGAAGTGCCCAGGAGTGTAACACAGGTGAGCAGACTGGACAAGGAAGAGCCAGAAAGCAGTAGGTGGCCCTTTTACTCACTGATGGGAAAACAAGAGAGTCTGAGGCTAGACTGAAAGTAGGACTTTCTGAGACCCAAACTTGCTCTCACTCCCTGGGAAACACCCACTGGGAGTTTGTCATCAGCTGTGCCATCAAGATATCTTCCATGTAGCCAGGTCCGGAGGCAGCAGGATGGGGGCAAGGCTTTCCGCCCCAAAAGATCACAAAGGCAATCAGAAGCCCCTTTAATTCTTTGCATCTTCCTGGTCCATTTTAAGTAGCCAGAGCCCCTGTTGCCATCTCCCTGCTTTCAGGCCTCCTGACTCCTCAGCAGCGGCCCCTCCTCCTCATCCAGATGCCCCTGCACACGTTTTTCACGCTGCTGCCATGGTGCATAGGAAAGCGAGAGTGTTCGTTTATATACTGATGACCCGTGAGTCTCACTTGTAACCAACAACCTCCGTCCCACAACCCCCCCAGAGTCCAGGGCAGTAGGAGGGTGCCCACCCCGCCACCAGCACCAAGGAGAAGGTCATGGGGAAGAGAGGGGGAGGGGCAGCGCAGGAGAAGGAGATAAATATTGCTCCAGCCCCCCCACCCTGCTTCATGCAAACCACACACACGCGCCCGCCCTCCCCTTCTGCCCCCCGAACACAACCACCGCACAAACTGTAAATGTGAGAATTTCCCCTGCAGTCAGCTCGAGGAGGAAAAGGTAACATTTTCCTGGCCTCAGCCCTGCATGGCTAATGGGAGGGCTGGTTTGCAGAAATAACAGTGCTGGCCCTTCAGTGGCCCAGCCAGGCATTCACAATAGCACTTTCATTCCGAAATTCCCGGTGGGCAGAGGGAGGGAGGAGGGAAGGAGGCCGCCGGTGAGGGGCAGAGAAGCCAGCACTGTTTGGGGCTGCTTCTGCTACTAAGGGACAGCTGAAAGGAAGGACAATGGGAGGTGGCCAAGGGCTGCCCAGGCCTAAACAGGTCAATCACGCCTTGTTCTGTCCGGGGTCTCAGGCATTTCCGGTGGGGGGAGGGGGCGGGGAGGGCGCGGTCAGCAGCCACCTCCCTTCACAGGGTTACGGATAAAGGCAGTGCTCTCTGTCTCAGCAGCCCCTCACCCCAATATCCTTAGGATTCCAGGTTCAGCTGTTGGCCAAAAAGTCTTATGGGGTGGGATAGGCGGCCTTGTCCCCAAAGCCCGACATTGGCCAACTAAGGACCTTTACAGAACAGCAGAGAGCCCACAGGTGAGCAGAAAGTGGCTTGTGGAAGCCGAGCGAGCTCATCAGGGAAGCAGAAAAGTGACAGTGGCTACCAGGCCTCAGTGGGAAAGCTGGAGGTGGGGACAAGCAGAGCCAGCCAGCCCAGGGCAGACTGAAGAGTACTGTCATGGAGGGGATGGGGCAGGGGCTGGCCAGGGCCCCAGCACAAGGGAGACGTGGCCCCAAAGGTAAGCATGGAGAGGGGGAAAAAGGAAAGAGGCCATGCTGACCAGAACTGGCCAAAGTCAAAGCCAGCTAGGCTCTAAGATGCAGTGGGGTGGTAGGAAAAGGCAGGCTGGATGCCCAGAGACCTGAGTTTTAACCCTAGATCATCCACTAACGTACATGGCCAAGTCAACCCCCAGACCCAGTTTACTCATCTGTAAAATAGTGAGGTTAAGCCAGGTGATCTCTTTTTCCTTTCAACGTACGGAGCACACAAACGCCAGTATCCACATGTCCCTAAGTAGATGCTATCCCCTCAAAGCACAGAATCTGGCACTGCACAAGTCACCTGGTAAGTGCCTGCCAGGCTTGTCACCCACACACCCCACATGGGCTACAGCGGCCCAAGAGGGGCCATCCCAGGGCTATTACCAAAGAGGAAGCACTCAGGGGCCCCAGTGCACCCCAGGTGTGGCCAGACAGTACCCACTGACAATCTACTTATTTGTTGAAGATTTGTCCTTCCTGCCCTGCCCTGCCCCGAAGGTTACATTCCCTGCGCCCTCTAGCGATGGCTGTCTGAATAGCTCCTTCTCAAGCTTTGGGGCCAAGGAGGGCAGGAAGGACCCCCAGAGGACCTGAGACTGAGTAGAGGGACTCCAAGGGCAGGCAGTCCACACCTGACCTTTAAGTGGGAAGGGGTCCTGAACAAGGTCAGGTGCTGGAATGACCCCAAGAAGCCCACTGACATCTTGTATCTGCAGGATCCCTGGGCTGAGTCTTCTGAAAAGAACTACGGCCGGAGCAAGGCTCTTACCTTGACCCATCGAGAAGCCTGACTAGATGGTCTAGGATACCTTTTTACCTGGCTGTCCCATGATTCTCCTCAGAGCCCCCCTGAGGTAAAGAAACTACCCAAATGAGACGCCAAGCAAAAGCAGATCTGGGACACTCAAGGGGCTTTGTTCAGAGAGCACCAAGTCCGTGCCCCTACCTCTGGCCCCGCTGTTTCACAGGGCCCATGGCCTACCAAACATGGGGAATACTGTAGGGCCTCATCCCTGGGTCTGTGGCAGCCCAGAGTCAGGGCAGCCCAGAAACCACCACCCACCACAAAGGCCAGGAGGAGGCGGAGGTGCTGGCCAGGGCAGAGGGAGGCTGCGATGCGGCAGGCGGGGTCAGGACTCGGGCATATGGGAAGGTGCCCGGTGGAGCCACTCAGTGTGGAGAGGGGAAGGGTTCCCAGCCCCTAGAGCTGCCTGCCCTGACCACAGTAGTAACAGAAGCCAGGGCTGCTTTGTCTCCCTCTGGGGCTTCCCTCTGAATTCCCAAAAGTGTGCCAAGAATGCCGGACAAAGGTCATCAGGAACCAGCCCTGGCCCAGGCAAAGCCCTGCAGAGGGAGCAGCAGGTATGGACTTCCCACCAGGGTTGTAGCTGGGAGCAGCAAGGGCAGAGGGTCAGGGAGACCTTGCCTGGAAAATCCCAGGTGTTTACTTGGGGCAGGATGGGTTTATTTGATGGATGGGCCTGGAAACCCTCCTCCCCATGTTGGTTTCCCCAATATCCCTGGTTCTCCCTCTCCCCTCACTGGGAGGCGATTCTACAAGGTGGGTGGGGGCGGGGGACAACCAAGGGACTTGCCAAGGCTCGAATTCCCTATAATTGTTTCTACAAATCTTCTCCCCTCTTCCCTCCTGCCTCTTACCTGGGGCCCCTGGGAGGAGAGTCAGTCACTGAACCCTCATGGCCCTGCATGCTGACCCACCCAGCCAGATAACCACCCTGTTCTCTGCTGGCAGCTATGGACGGCCAGGCGGACAAATGGACGGGCAGCCTCACGAGCGGGAAGAGCCGGAGAGGGAACCCACTCTCTGGGCCAGTGACTCAGACCGGGAGGAATGGAAGCTGCTGCCCGGGAGGGTGGGGGCCTGGGCAGGCCACCTTTCCAAGCCACCAGAGCCGTGGCCTGAGGAATGGAAAGAATAACAGAGGGCAGGCAGCTGCCTCGGCAGCTGTCTGCGCAGCACACGGGTGACGCCAAGGTGTGTACTTTATACTCAAGTAGGAGGGAGGACAAGAGAGGACGTCATCTTCCCAGATGGCATTCGCACTGGGCCATTTGCACTGGGCCTCGATTTCACCCTGGCTGCCTCTGAACCAGTCCCTCTTCAACCCCTCTGGTTTGGAGGGGCTGGCCCTGACCACATACCGCACCCCCGCCCCCCGCCCCGCCCCAGTCTGTACATGCCCCGCTGAGTTCCCAGCATCTTTAGAAACAGTACCTGTTCCTCATTTGCCTCCAGCTCTAATCATATCCCCTAACTCTTCCACACACAATGAAAGCACCCTGTGGGGGTGGGGAGGGCAACACTCGGCAGACATCTGCTGAGCCACAGAATCTGAAAAGGTTTACCCACTCATTCTTCTTCCAGCCATAGTAAAAACCCCTGGGAAAGCTGAGGCTCAAAGGGGAAGGGCCTCCCAAAGTCATAGTTCAGGGCGTGACTGGCCACACTCACCAAGGTCCCTGACCCTACTGCTTCCTACTCCTAACCCCATCAAGCCACCCTGTACCCATCCTGGGGGCTCTGAATTTATCCAAGAGCCCTGATGGGGAATCTCCTCTTTAGCCCAAGTTTATTTTAAGGGCAAAGCCAGCTGTTCTGGCTACTGTGATTTGCTCTAAGCATTTCACAGCCCCGGTAGACACTCCCCGACCCCTGCCCTTCTGCCTGGGGAACCTGCAATGGATGCAGCCCTGGCACAGGGGACTCAGGGCCAGAGCAGATCCCAGCCAAGCCCCACCCCACTGCCCACCAAGGCCACGATTGTCTCCCAAGGCTGGGAACGTGAACAAACACATGAGCATCACAGGCTTCGACACTCCCCGCCCCAGGAAAAAAGACACAGAAAGGAGGGTAAAGGGAGGGGGTAGCCCCCACTCCCAGCCAACCCACCCTCCCACTGCCTGGCACAAGGGCATGCAGAGGGAGGCACCCGCTCTCAGGCGCCCTAGCGGCTGGCTGTGTGTTCCCTCCCCCACTAACCTTCAGAGACATCCGCTCCTGCCACCCACCCCCTCAACGGTCCATGTCCACCTGATAGTGCTACAGTAACTTTTGAATGAAGGACTTCAGCTGGCAAAGCAAAGGCCTTCGCCAGGGGGCCCTCCCAGTAGCAGGACGGCCTGGCTGTCCCATCCAATGCAGGTAGGAACTTCTGTCCTGAACTGAGCCTGGTGGACAAGACTTTAAAGTCAGAGACTGTGCACTAGTTCAAAAGCCACGTACAGCTGGTCCAGGCTGGACTCCCCCAGGACCTTGAAACCATGGGCCCTCCTGGCTCTGCTTGACTGCTGAGGAACCTCCTGGCACAAGCCCCAGGATGCAGCCACCCTGAGCCTGAGCTCTACTCCCACCCAGGATGGGGCCCAAAGGCTAAATCAGTGAGGGCCAGTGGCTGGGCTTCCTAATTCCTGCCTCCAAAGCCTGGGAAAGCTCTTGCCCCACTTCAGCTTCTGGCGCAGAAGTCCTTGTAGCCAGACGTCTGGGTAGGAGGGGCAAGAAGACCACTTCTGGGTCTCCCTAGTCCAGGGCTCTAAGGCCAGGTGAGTCCCCTGCGATGCTTTCCAAATTCTGAGAAGTCCACCATTTGAGATGCTCTGAAGCTGCTGGTCCCTTAGTGCAAAGAGGCCAGCCCTATCTCTGAAGGAAAAGAGGAAATGCCTGATCCTGGTATGTGGGGCTGGGCACTGGAAGCTTCCAGAACTATCCCCGACTCCACTGTGTCTCTGACAACCCTTTCCCCAATCATCCCTACCTGACTATACACCTTTACGGAACAATACCCCAGTCTCTCTGCACACAAAAACAAAATGGATAGGGGCCCTCCCCCATCAATCAGAGACACCACAGGCCATAGGTGTGGGGGAACAAGGGACAGAGTTTGGGGGTGGCTACAGGGACACAAGCCTGGCTTCCGGAGAAGGTTCTGTTAGACTGGGCAAAACTTTCTGGACTTTCTCCCTGGCAACCCTACCCTTCTTGGCCCTAGACAACCAAAGCAGCCAGGGCAAACACCTGGAGTGCAGCGAGGGCTGTGAGGAGCCCCTTCCCAGAACATCTGGCCAGACCTCCCAGAGAAGGGGTGGGCCACCAGCCCCAATGGAAACAGTGACGCTCCTAGTTCCCTGCCAGCCAGGCCCCTGCACACCTGGGCCCCACTTCCTGCGAGCACATCCTAACCAGGCTTGGGTCTGGCCCAGCAGCCGCTCTCCAGCCAGGTCCCTGACTGCAGCATGGGCTAGATAAGGCAGTGTGAGTGGTGCTTAGCAGCTCTCACCCTGGCCAGACTGAATCCACGAGGCATTGGGTCCAACAGACTGGCCATTCTCTCTGGGACCAAAATGTGCTCCTGAGTAGTCTCTCATCCTTCTGGCTAGATTCTACTTCTTGAGGGCAAGGACCAAGTTTCTCACTTTTATGTTTGTAGCTAATCTAAAGTCTTCTATTTAGTTCAGTAAACTTAAGATCATGGAGCACCAACTAGAGAGATTTGAGGAAAGGACTCTTTGGTCCACCCATCTACCATAGGACCATGTGTATACATGTCACATAGCAAACACACAACCAGTACACACAAAGGGAGGGCCCCCACAAGCCTGTGTCAGGATGAACTGCATTCTGGCTGCTCCCCACACCCAGGGAGCTAGAGGGCTAGTGGACCCCATCTATGCCTCATTGAGGTCCTCAGTTTCTGCCCCCACCCCTGTCCTACCCCCAGTCCTCCCTCTCCCTTCCTTTCCTGTGTGTTCCCCTGACATTGGTCATCTGTGCCATCTCCTGTCTCCTCTCCTCTTTCCTTCTCTCCAAATGGACAATGTAGGCCAAAATCTTGGGGCTTTCCAGGCATGTCCTCCCCACCTGGAGAGGAACCACAAGGCAACAGCCTTGCCCAGAAGCCCTCTGCACCCCCAAGGTCTCACACTCTGGTCCTGACCAAGTTTTCTTCACCCTCCCCCCCTCCCCCTACCTTTCCCCACCCCCAGCTCCCAGCTTCTGGCCGCCCCACGTA